CTTGTAACAGCCTAGCTCTGTTTTAGTAGGTTGTATCAGTCTATAGACTGTTTACTTTGGTACAGAAGAGACTATAACAAAGGTTTGTCTAACTATAAAATAAAGCTGTTTGCCTCAAGAAAACTTAAGCAGACGGTAAGTAAATTAACCTTCCTATTCTGTAGCATTAATTTAGCCTTTTGAAATTCTTTTCCTATTCTAGAGTAATAATTAAAGTCTAAAGTGGTCCAGATAACTTAGAGATGTACATCTAATTATTCTGGATAATTCTACAACGAGATCAAAATACTTTTCATTCAATTCTAATTTTGAGGATTAATAGTAACAAAAATGCATTTTCAGTATTTACTGAAGCAATGGATATCTACTGATGCTGTGTACGTATGACTCGCCAGTCTCTCATTCTTAGAAAAGGACGTTTCTTTTACCAGAAGGATACTCCAATCAATATTATGTAATGGTACTCAAAACACACTGCTGTGTACTGTGCTGCTGCTATTCTAAAAGGATTATTGATTTAGATTCAATTAGAATTGAATGTACCTTTCACGAATGTTGATGTCATTTGGAACATGTAGGGTTACTTCTGAAGAAAAATGCATTCGGTAGCTGCTCATGCCTTAATAAAAGTATGCCATGTATTAAAGATGTTTCTTAAGCATTAACTCGGAAGTACTAAGAAAAAGTAGAAGTGTTAACATTAGCATAATTAGAAATCACCTACGTTGTTATAGTTGAAAAGAAATACTTAATGACACCTGAAGTGTGCTTCTGAAAATACTGTTCTCAAAATAACAGTAGTGATTCGGGAGAAATGACATTAATAATAATTGTATGATTTAATAACCTGTGACACTCACTAACAGAGCGCCATAAGTAACATAACTTTAGCAGACCAAATGCAGGTCGCCTTCATGAATGTAATGATTCAGATCTGTCTTAATGTTTGACATTTAAGCCCCAAGCCAACACCTGATCCAGTTTCATTTTTCAAATGTCTTTCCTGCTGTTCTGATTCATGTAGTAATGATTTCAGACACCCGTGCTCACTGAAATGATACCCTGTAATGCAGATGATGGCACAGACATTTTTCTTTTCCACTCTATGTATCCTAGTTCTCTATCATGCTTATTTATTTATTTAAATTCCTATGTTTTTCTTATTTTTGAAGTTGCCTTCCCAAGAACTGTCCCCACTTTCCAGACACCCTTCCTCCTCTTGGTCACACATTGATCAAAAGATTCTCCAGGCTGTCACCAGTGACTGGCTTTCAAGGACTGTTGGTTTTTCACCTTCAAGTGTGTGCATCTCACCCCCTCCACCATTTCCAGAAAGTTTTCTCTGTGACTTAGGAGAACTCAATTCTTTGGCATTAACATCCCAATCTGTAGCAATCTCCCCAGGTAATAGCATTCACCGAGTTAAGGATGATCACTTTATTCCAAATACAGAAGTCTCTCTCAGCTCTCCTACAGCTCTTCCTCTGCCCTTTCTTGTATCTACCTCTGTCTCATCTTCAACCAGCTCATCTCATGACCTAGCATATAAGCATATCAGCAACAATACCAAACCAGAAAATGATAAAGACTTGGGAGGTGTACTTGACTCTTCAGTTTTCGAAGTACATAGAGACTTGTCAGACACTACAAGAGAAGGTGAACATGCTGGCGCTATCTGTAACATCCCTTCGCCACTTGAAGGTGGCTCTGTCTCCAGAACGCCAGCTGCAACGGCTGAAAATGAAGAGGAAATCTGTACTGGAGCTCTGTCAGTTAATATGGGGGATCAGTCAAAGCCTGAAGAATCAGATTTCTACAGAGGAGCACGAGACACACCAGAAGAACTGACAAGACTCTATATAGAGGAGGATCTGGGACATGACAATTCAGGATTCCCAATAGCAAGTGGAGGAGCCTCCACGTTAAGTTATGAAGGATACACGTCACCAAATATTGATAAGGTATTTTAACTTCAGAAAAACCTGGCTTCTCTGTTCAGATAGCTTAGTGTAATTATTCCCTGCCTTTTCTTGTATTCACGTGTTTGTATTGTGCACAGGCACAGTTTTATACTATTGTCAGTGTTAGGGGATTGTCCCCTCTCAGAAGCAGGCACATATGCCAGTGTAAGTTCTGCAATGTATCAGTTCTGCAGGTCCTTTCCCTTCTGTCCTTGTTAGCTGCCATCAAGCTTCTGATGTGAAGAGCCAGTGAACCAGTTTCCTCACTGGCACACTACACACCACCCCTTTTGAGCCAGAGGCCCCAGCAAGCAAATGCCATCGGCAGTCTTCAGAGGGAGGGACATGCCCCCTGCAGAGACTCAGTGGGTTGTACTTCCCATGTGTCACTTCACCAGCTGATATATTTATAGTAGACTCAGTTACGAGAATGTGACTGATAACAACAGATCAGGTTATGTTTGGCAGTTAACCAAATGGTTCCCCCTAAAGCCCTCCCCAGTTCCTCTTTGGGACAGTACAACACTGAACTATCCCAAATGTCTGCTCGTCATTAAGTGCCACAATATTGCTACACAGTTTATGTGGTTTCTAGGCAAAGTTTTATAACAGATCTTTTCTGTCCGGCACTTATTTCAACAGAAAATGTGTGGCTAGCGCATGAAAACATGTAAATCAGATATTTAGGACCATATACTTTAGGCCATATGTAAAACTAGTTAATTAGAAAGGCTTTGCAGACTGCCTCTGCCCTTTCTTGACCTGAAAAACACAGGAAAAAACTGCAAGAATAGTGAGGTGAAGTCCACTGCCATGAATAGCAACTTGTTTTGATTTCTGAGGGAAGAATTTTCTTCCAGAATAGTAGACTGACTAAGAATAAAATGAGCATCGCATTTCTGACTGTTCAGGTTAGTTACA